GGGGTGGTCGAATACGCTTGCATGGTAGGTTTTTCCAAATAAACTTCATTCCGAGCGCGTTCAAACAGTAGGCAGTCACAACTCAAATTCATCAGAACAGAGAGGAACTCAAATAGGCCGGCCTCCACGCATGGTTGGCAAAAGCATTTGGGATCGTTTTACGGTATAATGCATCGGGGTGCGTGGAAATACGATGGCGTAAAGGTCAACTACAGAGCAACTTACAAATGCAGGCCTTAGATTGTGTTGTAAAAGTGTAGTCTACTGCCAAGCCATAAATGCCGTAGGAAACGCTAACGCTAATCTTGTCCTGACAACGATTTGCAAGGACTGCAGGTAGGTGCAGTACAATTACATGATGCACAAAACTGCAGACCAAGAAGTTAATTTTCAAAAGTTACCTACTAGGAGATGCCTCTTGATACTTTGCTTATTTGAATGACTGAGTGGCTTCTGTCTTGCTTCTGTTGAGAGGTTGAAACAGATGAATGTTCATAAGTTAAGGATTTCTGTTAGCTCTCTTCCACTAGCTTCTCGAACTAAAGTTAGTCAAGTTTAAAGTGACTGCAACAAAACTGCCTGTGTGAATGGAGATCATTTAGACGGCTGCAAACCTCCTGTCTGGTGGGCTGACGCCGGGATCACACCAAAGCTCAACCTTTTTCTTTTCTCTATAAACGCAAGTTCTCGGCCGAATCTCATGGGAAGTCTTGGGGTGCTTCAACAACCTCAGCCGGCCCTGTACTAGTCTTTATTCCTTAGCGCTCCAAGTTCCTCCTGTAGGTCAGAATCCTTAAACAGCGGATGTGTTCATCACGTTTAAGAGGACTTAGTGACTACTGACGAAAGAGGAAAAATTAAAAGCCTTATCCATTTAAGGCACCAAAATACAGAGCCAAAATTCGTGCTCAGACTATTGCAAATCCTCCTTCTCTTTCGAACTTAGGTTTCAACGCACATTTTGGTCATGAGTTAGAGCAGATGTGATGCAAGGTCGAGTTTCCTCCCATCACTACCCAAAATCTTGCTCGTAGGATGGTTAAGAGGCGACTTTTGTAGCCCGAAAACAATGCTATCAAGTTTAATCACAAACCAACTTTCGAAAATTCTAGGCGTCTGTCCATTTATAGTTCGGTGCAAAGTGGCTTCTGTAACAATTAAACGGAGAAATTGCCCTGTTAAAACCAAGCGCCCTATAGGTTTCGGTAAAGACAGGATTTCTAATGGCAGTTATCCATTTCTGAATAAATTCGCACAGCCATTTTGTCGGGTGGATTGCATTCACCTTAGCCACTTTACCTTTCGCTATTGTCTTTCACGTTCATTATATTTCGTTACATGGAACAAAGCCTTCGTTTTAACAATTCCTCCGTTTCTAACGCCTGCAATGTAAGTGTGTGTTGGCTCACTCAATTCCCATTCTGAGTGATGCTAGGCGCTGCCAACAACTACGACTACGGTTTTGAGGCATCCTTAGCTTGTGAAGTGCTCGACGCCGATGGAAGACCAGTTGGCAACGTGGTGGAGGACAATTACGCCCGAGATATCACCCAGTGCTTCCAGAAAACCATCAAGGTACTTACCTCAGCAGTGGGCACTTTGATTCTCCTCTGCCTCTATATTGTCGCGGGAGCAAGCATGTTCCGATATCTGGAACAAGGAAATGAGTTGGAAGCCTGCTACTCAACGTATGCACTGTACAAGGAGAAGTTAAACACCTCTGTTTTACGAGCCACGGGCATCGTGGACTCAGGCCTACCGAAGGACGTGGTGGCTTTGCAGTTAGAAGGCGCAATGGTCGATTTTGCAGAGGCGTTGTTCGCTCTCGACTTTCCACCTAGTCGCAACTGCTCCAACATCCTTGAGCCTTTTGGATCGAGGTGGAACTGGATCAATGCATTATACTTCTGTGCCACTGTTGTCACTACCATTGGTATGTACTGTAAGAGTTGTAATTCATACTGCTAGCAAGTCTCCGGCTTACTTAGCACCAATAATTATCCACTTGTTTTATGAATGTAAGCAATTTTTCCCGTGCATCATTTGGTTATGTGTTCCTAACGCTTAAAACACTGCCCTTTGTTCTTTTTGGCTAGTAAATAAGGAAGCCTGCCCTTCAATGCAAATTGCCTATTCATAATCATTCACTGAGGCGCCCAGAGACTTCGTTGGAGAAAATATTTGGTTGTGCAAACGGTTAGGGACTCAAAGTGACCCGTTAACCAAAGCTAACAGCTAGACGATCGACCTACTACACTAGCATTACTAATTTCTAAATGTGTTACTCCAATTCGATGGAACCACTTCATGAACTCCCTTTAAGCTGTTAGGATGAATCGCTTTGAATTCCAATGTTAAACAAATTTTGTTGGGAATTACTGCGAAGGCGAAGATTCAGGTTTATAGGACGAATGGTCACTTTGGTCGATGGGGTTCAATCCATTTTTCAACTTGCTTCTTCACATTTGCATTCCCGTGATATATAGTTAAGTCAATTTGTAAGAAGAAAATTCAAAGCGAATTAAGGGAAGGGCAAATCGTTAGCCTTGCATGTTATCTCTGAAGTCGCACTTTTGGACTACTCCTCAAAATTCTATTTGCATTTTCTTCATTATAATGTACGCATCGGTAGCGTTCTTGAGTTGGCTAATTGTTTAAACTACTCACAGTATCCATAGGCGGAAATTCAATAAAACCGACTCCTGAGTTATCCGCATTATTTATGCGGATTGTATCTGGTAGCCGCTAAAAGTGGTCTAAATCTCACAAGATTGGGGCGCAAGCATCGGGGACGACTTGTAACGGGCAAATTTTAAACTAGCGGAAGAAACTTAAGCTTTAAGGCTTTAACTCCAAACGCGGCAAAAGGTTAACAAACTGCGAACCTTTTACGACAAGCACTTACTTTTTCATCATCTGCTTTAAGGCTACGGCCACGTGGCTCCGACAACTCAATGGGGTCGATTGGTGTGCATGTTCTACTGCATTCTTGGTATTCCGCTGTTGCTCATCTACCTCGGCAGCATCGGTCAGATGCTGGCCCACCTATTCCGTCTCGTTTATATGAACATTTGCTGTTGTCGGTGCTTCCGCGACGCCTGGATTCGACGTCGCAACGAACGTCATCTGCAGCTCATTCGGCTGCAAGAAGACCTGCGTCGGCACATGGAGTTGCAGGCCAAACTCCGAGGTGAACCGGTACCACCAGCCAGGGTTAGTTTTGGCATGGTTGGCATTAAGCAATAGGATATCGAGTACTTTGGGGAAATCAAGTTGGATTGAAGCAAATGAACAAGGCTTCGGCTTGTATGGTAGTTAAATTCACTGGTTCTAGCCAGTCTTCAAAATTGAGGTGGTTGATGACGACATCAATGTTGAACATTAGACATTTATGTACGAAGAGACCGGGAGAAAGGTCGGATTGTGGGGACTGAAGAGAACACACAAATTTCTTGATAAAGTGGCATGAGCAGTAGTTGGGATTTGGCAGATTGAATGTCACTAACAGTCATATTGCTCCTCGAGTAAGTGTCGATAATCGTCTCCAAAATCCGTAACTTATGCCCGCTTGAGTCGACTTGATTAAATTAGTTGTTTTGACCTTTAACCGAGAAGACGGTAATGGAAAAGTGGATCAGCTTCATTAAATGACCTTTATAGATGAGTTCAACTATTCTGGATGATGACTCTGATGAAGACGATGAAATACGTGAGGTCTACCGCGAATTTCAAGATACTGAAGGTGCTGGAATCCCAATCACTATTGTTATGCTGGTCATTCTGGGCTACGTATCAGTTGGTGCTCTCCTTTTCCGCATTTGGGAAACCGACTGGAGTCCTATCGATGGTGCCTATTTCGCAGTCATCACCATTTCCACCATCGGTTTCGGCGACCTTGTACCCGGAAACGGCCGGTTCGACAAGGTGGAAAGTCTAATTCGAACTAACCAAATTTGTGTTTGGGTAGCACAAGGCCAGTCGCACCAGTAATGCCGATAGCATTGATGAAACATTGCAGTCAGTGTGTAGCCATAAGATTCAAACTAGTTAGTGACCTGCAATTCGCACAACAACTGAAAATGATTCCCTTTTCAGCCCACATCTGAAATTATTTTAGACCAACACTATTCTCGTTGTTGCATGCAAATCAAAAGCTCACCCCAACTAAGATGTCATCTGAAGTGTCAAATACACTGAGCTCTTGGTTATGTTAACGGCATCACTAAAGTTCGCGAACCAACTAACTGTGTTGCGCTTACACAAACTAAACACAAGCAGTTCGTCATGTCAAGTTCTAGTAGTCTTAGCAGTTAACTGTTTTATGGTCAAAATGGAGACACCAACAACAACAACAACAACTCATACTAGATGGTTAGTCCAAGTTGTTTTGGTCACTTATTTTACGAGGGAATGTAGGAGCCGGACTGGCGATGACTTGAGTCTGCATTGAAGACTCGTACACAGCTTGGTAGCAGGAATTATCTGGACGTAATGAAACAACACAGAATGCTTTTACAGCTTTTACTTGCTTTAAAGACAGGAACTACAACTCTTTGGGGAGTTGGATACTTTCACCTGCCTATAATGGAATGCATAATTACTTTATCCAAGGGATATTGTGAGAAAACTCTTTTATTGTTTCGATGCAGCCCATCTTAGAACCCCGTGACGGTCCTTCAAAAACAGCTGAACGGATGGAAAAGTTGATGGGAGTGAAGACCATAACCTATCATAAGCGTTTTTAACCGGTCATCGTTCTTAACCTCAAACTGTTTTTAACAACAAAGTCAAAGTCAGGCAAGATAAAATACAAAGATTTCATTAATTATTAACATTAACGATGTATTTAGTAGAATGCTATTTCAGTTAGTCCTGATAACTTGAAGTTGATCTAT